CCAACAGTGCTAGTGACAGACTACGCCCAGTGTTTTGTATCACAGCAATTCAAAACGTTTTGCAGTGTAAATGGGATCAGGCACTTAACGACACCCAGCCTATCACCCAAATCAAACGGCTTAGCCGAAAGAAGCGTGCAAAGCTTCAAAAACGGGCTGTACAAACAGATCTCGGGGTCCATTGAGACCAAGGTCTCTCGATTTCTGTTTAGGTACCGCACAACACCGCATACTACGACCTCATGTACGCCCGCCGAATTATTTCTGGGTCGTGTGCCACGCACTCATTTAGATGGTGTGCTACCAGATAGGCAGGAGCGTATACGGAGACAGCAGGAGGCTCAAAAGACGTACCGTGATCGAAATGCCCGTGAACGATGTCTGAACCCGGGTGACCCTGTGTATGTGCCTGCTGTCGATAGATTGCAGGGATTGGAGCGTTGTCGGTGGGCGCCCGGTCGTGTAGTGTTCGTAGAGGGAGATAGGGTCACTGTGGAGCTAAATGACGGAAGGGTGATTGTGCGGCACGCCGACCAGGTTCGTGAGCGATATTCAGCTGTTCCGCATGTCGCTAACGATCCTCTCCGTTCCAGAGTGACACCGATACCTGCTCCTGATCCGGTCACGGAGAGCGCCGCTGCATCTGCACGGCATGCTCCCGTTCCCGGACAACTGGCCTCCACTCCCGACCGGCTGCCGGCTCCTGATCGAGCGCCTGCTCCTGGCCGGCCGCCTGTTCCGGCGCCGCCAGGGCTGACCGGAGCGGTGCCCGCGCGGGGTGTGACCACCGTTCCGCCGTCCGCACCCTCTCCCAGCGCGCCGCGGTACCGGCTGAGAGACCGGTCCACCCTGCGGCCCCCAGACCGATACGTGGCGAGCTATGAATAGACGTTTTGTTTCAGTTGTTATTTGTTCTGTGAGGTGCGTATTTATTTGCTTGTCCATGCTGTGCAAGTATTCGGGGTGGAGGAGTGTCATGGAGCTGAGCTGGCCGCCGCCGCGCCGGTGCACGCGTACTTGCGCTCGTGACATGCGCTCATGACACTCGTATGTGAACCGTGGTGGCGTTGCCTCTGTGACCCGGGGGCTACCTGGCCGGCTCGAATACAGTTTGGACCGAGACACCGTCTGTGATAATATGCATTCATCCAATTTTCCAGCTTCCACATTAAACAAGAAACTGTGCGAGCAGATATGGCGAAAAAATAGATGTCCGGATAATTTCGTTACACCCTGTATGTTCTAGTGCAAACTAATGCTATGATGCTAGGGGAGCGGCTGCAGGCTGGCGTAGCGCGTGCGGCCTTACGGTGGTTGGGTGAACGTGCCACCTTCTGCTGTGGGGTGGGTGGGGTGGGGGAGGTCCTCCTTGACCCCGTGCCGGCCCCGCCACCTGTGCTGCGCCATCTTTAGGCTGGCGACAGTGTGGAAGCGCGTACCTTCCGTCAGTTTTCCAGGCATCTGAAGTCTGAACTCGGCGCTGGCCCTGTCGTCGATCTCTGCGCGTGAGCCGTGACGGGTGCCACAGCCTGCTGGCACCGGCGGGTACGTGCCGTGTACAGCCCTCTGCAAACTGCGTGGTAGGTATTCTTTTTTTCGACAAAACCGAGAATAACGCGAATACTATGCCATCGGTCACTCGGAAATCGTAACAGTATGACGCGCGAGACTTAGCACCTTAGATTGGCATTATCATCGTGTTCATTTTCTATCCAGTTTGGCAACAAAATCCAAAAGTTTATATTTGCCCCCAAAACAGTCTTTTGCATTTTGTTGCCACACAAGGCGTATACTTTGTCTAGTGATAGACCTTATCGAAGAAGTGGAGCATGGCGCATCTATTTGCAGTGAGTTCCGACCGACTGATAACATAGCCTTTGAGTTATCACCAGTTTTGTCGAAAAAAGAATACCTACCACGCAGTCTGCTGAGGGCTGTACATGTGGTGCGGACTGCGGGACCGACTTGAACCACTCGAAGCCAACGGAGACCAGCCACCCTCATTCGCTCAGATTTATGTGAACGACCCACGAGCCGAAATACTGATGCCGAGGACCACGCACGCATTGTGGCATCACATAGAGAACACCTATTACATCCGGGAACGACTCCGATCGGCCATTTTCGGGAAATTTACCGTCCGCGGTGAATATTCCTGGGAATATGCTCTGAACGTATCAACCGAATTTGATGTTAGTGCCGGACCCGTGGACTCGGAACTGCGTCACTAATGCCTGTTCATACTTCATAAATGTAGCGCGGCGTGAGCCATCCATGGACTGCGTGTTTCTTTTTTCCAACCAAAGGTAGGCACTATACCTGAAGATGCTTCTTTGTAACCAAACCAAACAAAAACTAACAACCTAACCTAACCTAACTTGACCTAACCTACAGCCTACAAACCTACAACGCGCCAAAAATTTCAGCCGCCGGCGGGATTCGAACCTTCGGTCCTCTGAACACGGGGCGAGTGCGCTAACCAACCACTTCACCTCGCAGACAGCTGGCCGGATAAAGGTGTTGTAAGTCACTTGACAATGACGCACTGGGATATACTCCGTATAGCGCCTTCCTTTGATTGGAAAAAAGAATTACTTACGCCCGTGGACTAGCCTCTTCAACTCCGTAGCAGTGTCTCCCAATCTGCGGAAAGTTCAGCTGGTCGCATGATAACCGTGGCGAAGTTTTCTGGCTCTGTTTCAACGGTTCCTTCATATTCCCTTCATATCAGCATAAGCCAGATTTAGGCTAACTTGCAATTAAACGATCAAAAATGTTAGCTTAAGTTTCGTTAGGGTAAATTAAACGGTGTTTTATTTGGTTAGGCTAAGCCCGAAAAACGCGTATATATGTGTTGTTTGACCAGGGTGGCTTAAAGGTGACAGTGCGATGCGGTACGACATCTTCTCGTCATCTTCTAGGCTGTTGTCACCTGTCGTCTTTCCGAGAGTCGGCTAATGCCTCCAATCCCTGAGGCTAAGCCGCGGCAATTTTTCGTCGCTCTGGGAGCCTCATGGCAATGACTGTAGGCTGACAAACAATGACTCAGCACTTCAGCACCACTGAATATGACGTGACATTCACAACGTATTATTCCTGTCGTTAGCCAATGTTGTTTTCGTTTTGCCAACTGACCCAATGCTGTATGTGTTTGTCTCGAGTGCCTATGCTTGTATACTGTAATCTTTTCCCGTTTGATGTGATGTATTGTTTTGCCCTTTTTGCCCCGTCTCGATATAGTGCTGTTGTCGTTTTGTCCCATATGACTCCATGCTGTACCCATCGTGTCCCACTGACCCAATAGGGTGCCCTTGCTGCACTCATCTGTTCAATCATTTTGTGCAATCGAACCCCATGCTGACCGTGTTGTACCCATTCTATAGCCGGCCTCGCCTGGGCCTGAAGCTGGGGCCCCGCTTTGGCCCCCGCCTGGGGCCTCAGCCTCGGCCCGACATTAGAAATAGTGCCGTGGCAATCTGGATCCAGAGGTAACCTCGCCTGTTACAGCACGTTCCATATCGGCGGCGACTCTGTACAGCTGTCTCTCTCTCTGACTTGACTGCAGTCTGATGAACGCATGGACCGTGCGACGGAGAATGGCAAAACTGCATGGAGAATGGTCGTCATTTTTGGTTTATTTCGCCGTCTATATGAGCTATTTATGCTTTTTTTGTTGAAAGGACGACTGAAAACAATCTTTAATGATGGATTGATTAATTGTAGAGTAGCTGTTTATCTGAAACCGACAAGTTTTGTCTTATAGGTATCAGCTTTGTATTCGCATTTTTTTCGTCAAATTCTTGGACATGTTTTATCTTGCATTGCTACTCCTGCAAATTGTTGGCGTTATTCAATGCAATATTCATAGATGCTAGAGTTATTTACTAAGGTCTATGCAACACGCATTGTCTTGCCGCATGCGTGCTTCTACATAATGCGTGCCCCTGTAGCTTCCAGAGCGTGACAGCAAGAGCGTCATTCATCTTCCGTTCTAGTTCTGCTGTCAGGCCAATGATTCCGTGTCAATTACAGTCCAACGACCTCAGAGGTCACACTAACCAGTCTGAGGCGGCTCACACCGGATCGTCAAAGCGCCGGCTGTCTCCCTCGCTCGTGAGAGGGAGCTCTTGGTTATCTTTGGTTGCGGCGAGACACTCTCAGGGCACTTGACATTAACAATGTGGCGCCATTTGGACAGCGTAGGTTATCGGGTGTGCAAATATACCACACCTGTGTGTTATGATCAGGACGAGGGCCTCCTGCACGTGGTTAGACGCCGTGCAGCTGAGGAGGTCAGGTAGGGGTGAGCGCGTTTGTAGGTGCTCCAATAGACGTGGAGGCGGCCGGGAGCTGAGGATGGCTTCTAGACTGCGATTATGGCCGTGACAGCGTGACAGTCTATTTTGTTTGTGTACATATACATATACATACATGAGATCGTTTATGTGTGCATTTGCGTGTATGCTGTCCATAACAATTGACAATTGATCATACAATCGCACGTATTCTTTTCAGCATGACTGACCAAGTTCGATGTCCATTCAACCTGTTCTCTTATCGATTCAGTTGCTTCTTTTTATTATATGTCTTCTTTTATTTGGAGCTAACAATGTGTTCCTCAGTCCCAACAATGGTGCGCATATTTGCCTGACAATAACCGTTTTTCAGCACGTATCAGACAAAAAAAAATCATGTTGATATCAACGATGAACGAGCTAACATCTTTGTTAGAGACCGTTTAGAAAGTTGATTTGATAAAGACAAAGTGTTTTCGATAGCTTTGTCTCATGTAGATCATGGACGTTCTTTTTATCCCTAAGCATTGTATGCAGTTACCAGAATTGTACTGATTAAAGTGGCAAAAATAATTACTACTTGACCCCTGCCGAAACGATTTGCCTGCCTGATTTTGACGATTTACCTGCCAAAAGGCATGATCCGGTCTGCCACCCTCTCCTCACCTCCAGTTCTGACGCTCCTCTCGTCTCCACTTCTCACAGAGTCCGAAACCGCATCAGCACTCGCAAACTCCGCAAACGGGTGGTGTTCAAGAACGGTGACCTGAACGTGGTGCAGGGCAACCTGTCCAAGCGGCGGCGTCGCTACCTGGCCGACATCGTCACCACCCTGGTCGACATCAAGTGGCGGTGGACGTTGCTCGTCTTCAGCCTCAGCTTCCTGCTCAGCTGGCTCCTGTTCGCCGTCCTCTGGTGGCTGATCGGAGTCGCTCATGGAGATTTTGACGAGCAGAACATCAACAATGAGGCGTGGATTGCCTGCGTGCATAACGTCAAAGACTTCACCGGGAGTTTTCTGTACAGTCTGGAGACGCAGCACACGATTGGCTACGGATACCGCTATATATCGGACCAGTGCACTGAGGCGGTTATCTTACTCTGCGTTCAGAGTATCGTCGGACTGGTGATCCAGGCTCTCATGGTGAGCATCGTGTTCGCCAAGCTGGCGCGGCCCAAGAAGCGAGCCCAGACGCTGCTGTTCTCCCGCAGTGCGGTCATCTGTCAGCGGGACGGCAGGCTCTGCCTCATGTTCCGGCTGGGCAACATGAGGACCTCGTCTCTGATTGGCGCCACGGTGCGCGCGCAGATCATCAGGAAGAGGGTGACCCCCGAGGGCGAGACCCTGCAGTTTGACATGGAGGAACTCAACCTCGGTAAGTGGACGGTGTGAGAGGCGCAGGACAAGGGTTTAAGTTTTAAAATCCACAGAGCGGTTCGCCTGAATTATTTTCGATAGTCGTTGTCGGCAGGTAATGCGTTTGTGGCCTATGGTTCTCGTTTAGAAATAGTATTAGTTAAATTACCCCTATGTTCTCATTTGGTTACTTTTTCGACATTAAACTACCCCCAGCTTTTAGAAAACATTTGATGACAACCCTGAGTGGTACCAACAATGTCTTCTTCCCAGCAACTCAAGTTGATTCGAGGCAACGTTCAAATATTTTCAGACGAAACCGCTCACCATTCCAAACGATGCCGAGACGAGACACAGTCGTGCGATCCTTTTTATTGATGTCATTTAGATTCAGAGTGCCGAGCGTTTAGAGGCTTCCACACAATGCCAACACAGAACCGTGCTAGATGACGTATACCAATAATTACCATTTGAGATGATAATAATTATCATTTCAACCTACTTCACTGGGAACCGTTTTCAGCACCGACAATGGTCAATGCACGAACCCTTCCAGCCGATACCACGAACCCTAACCGATCTCTGCTGTAATCATTTGCTCACGGCGGGTGTTGAAACTGCTGACCGCTGCCGGCTCGGTCGAACAGGCTCCGAGTGTGCCCCTCTGAGAGACAGACAAGCCCCGTACTGTGTAGGGCAGGATGGGGCCGTTGGGTGAGGCATTTGGTTATGAATGTGAGTTGAAATGATAGAAATTAGGAGGAAGGAGCGATTCGATGGAGTTGATTAAATTGATTCCTAATTTACAGCCTGCATAGTTGAATAATAAGTAATGCAGCCTTTTCGAGCATTAGTCTTCCTGTGGCAGTTGGCACGTGATAGCGAAGATGAGCTCAGTGTGTGCAGTACAGAAACTAATGCCCATGCTGTTCTGTTATATTCACTTCACTGAAATTTCTCTTCACCTGTTTTATGAGCAGACATCCTGCTGTTGTAAACAATTTGTTAAGTTTGCGCATCATTGAAACTTGGTGCGAATTTCAGGAAAGAGGCATTACTTTTCGGATGGCAAGACGAGGACGATCACTTCCACAGGTGCGAGAGACTCTAACTTGACCTCGAAGGCGCTGTTCAGTGCCAGGCACGTGTTTCACGCACGTGTATTTTACCTTGTAATCCAGCATGTTGAGTAACCACTGCACTCCAAAGTCCCAAGTCCCAAAGGAGCGGAGGAATTGCTGATGCCACTCAAACTCTTGACCAAATACATCTAAACGGAATGTCTCGCATGACGTGACCTTTCTATTTTTTCCCCCACTGCCCTGTTCTATGCACTTATTGTCCGTTGTAGGTACAGTATACCCTGTAGGTACCTATACAGTGCCTAATTGGTTCAAAGTGCATGCGGAATTGATAGGCATTACAATTTACAACTAAGACATTTTACTGACTTCCTGCCGTTTTAACAAACGGTTTGGTTTGATACTAACATGCTCAGGGTTACTTAACTTCTATTGGTGATATATCTTGTTGCGTAAATGAAGTATCCGATGTAAAGAGCGCCTTGTTGGTCGCCCACCGGTTCCACCCTCAGCTCAGTAGCGTTTTAATCCGCTACAGGGCAAATGCACGTGCTGTAAACATCCGACCGCCCTTTGGCTCGCTGCCTCGGAGCCCAACTGAGCTCCGTGAGCCCGCCGTCTAAACATGATGTCCGTCAATATCGCTGTTAGGTTTATGGCCATGAGCATGCAGTACACAAACGACGCCCCAAGCACGTGGCATGAAATTCGAGACCTCATCCGACTGCCTAACCCGAAAAGTTCAGACGATATGTATTTGTTTAGAAAAAAAGTGCAGCAATTGTTGCGAAAGGCGCATGGTACGATGCAATATCGTTAGGATGTGATGTTAAACGGAATATTATTTCCCTGTTGGCGTAAGTTCTGATGTAATTTCAATAAATGGGCTTCCTGTTGGTGTGCTGGTGCGCTACACTAATGCCCTCTGTGCACTGCCCGCTGGCTTTTCAATCGTCATCTCACCAACCTATTTATTCAACAGGCCACTAAACACACTGTCTTGTCTTTTCACGACAGACCAATCTCCCTTGCACCGAATACATTCCCAGCGTGTTTCTTGCGCCAAACCGCGGCATTTCTCTCGACTCAGAGTCTTGGTTCGTTGCTCCCAGACAGAGCCCTCGGTTGGTCCGCCTGGATGCCAGGGTCACACCCGGGGCGAAAGGAGCAGCCTTGCCAGTATAGAGGCCATTTGCAAGGCTGCACGGTGTACATTCACGAGATGGTATTGCTTATGAGAGGGCAGCTGGGTGTTGACTGGGTTGTACGCTGAAATCGTGATGTGTGTACGAAATGGCCGAAGATTGTATGACATTTCTTACGTTTACTCATTGGATATGCGGTCATGACACTCAAATTTATTGATGTTCATGTTCATTGGGTAAATGCAGTTTCTGCATGTAATTCTATGGTAAATTGAAAGCGTAGGAAGCATGCACCTTGGCCGACATTTTTAAATGTTCATCTTTGTGACCCCATTCGACAGAACAGCTTGACACAGTCAATAGGCCAATTTCGGATGATTTCTGGACTGTATCCCCCGAAGCAAGAAGCGTGTTGGATTTGTGTAGCAATGTCCCTCTTCCCCGAAGCACACCATTTGTGCATTTTCATCGTGCCAATTCCCTACGTCCAACATATCATCGCAGCAAGCGATCTTGCGGGTCTCAATTGAAGCAACTCCGCCTTGCCCTGATTTTGAGATGCATTACTTATGTATCTCTTATTCTCTGGCCTATCACCCAGTGAACAAGACGGCCGCGCCTCTGCACGACTGCATAAATACTGCATACGTTTGTACTCTGGCGGTCAAGTCATTCTGATGTTGTGGATGGGACCCTCGATCATGTATGGATGATTTTAACAGCAGTGGTTGCCGTCTGTTATTCATTTATTCAAGGCCAATGCCCTTACGTCGTGCAAGGCGGAGCGATAGAGTATTGACGGTTAAATGTTGTAGCTCCTTACTCTGTTTGCACTTATGTTTAATTGTTTTGGTCACAATCACTGACACCTCTTGTTGATGCGTCCCACCAAAGCCGTCATCATTACGGCTTTTAAACCGGCATTATATGAACTTGCTGTGTCAGAAGTTGTGCGTGAGATTGTTTCACGAGGAAATAATTCTACCTACCTGTAAATTTGTTTCAAGATTTTCGGAAACAAAGGAAAGGCCAATGCCATATATAGGAAAGACTTTTGGGCGCTACGGGTGTTCCGTTGTTTCAATATTTTGTTACCCTGGCACAATAGGCTAATGCAGACTTTCATACTTTACCAGCATCGCGATTCAAATCGTGGTTTACATATCTGTTACTGGCGTGGGTACTTGTTGCTAGACACCCCTGCTCGTACTCCCACCTGTTGCTAGGCTCCTGCTCGTGTAGTCTGGGTCGTCGGGCGGACCTCGGTCCCTGAGGCCAGCCAGTCAGACGGTGACACGGAAAACGCTTCAGGCGTGTCGGGTCACACGCTCGGCCCCCCGGCGGTCACATGATGTCTCGCCGGTGTCTGAGGGTGGATCACGTGACAGGGTGGGCGGGCTTACAATAGGATCACGTGATGTGATGCGAGGAAGGTGGGCTCTGTTCTGTTGCAGTGCGATCACTGAATGTGAGCGCTGGATGAGTTGAATGGGCCGGTTATTTACGGCCAGTGCCTTTTCAGTGGGACCACTTGTATACGAAAAAGGCTAGCTTTTTTGTAGGTAGATTTGGGTATCAATTTTGTTTGGCATCGCTTCAGTCCTACTGATCTTTTTCCCAAAGCAGAGCATGTAGTAATAACTTTCTAGTTTCTACGTCCTACAGTTGTTTCCGTTTCATTGTTTATATCATTTCAGCCTTTCTATGTATTCTGTCCGGTAGCCAATTGCTTAAATGTCACCTCCTTAGTCCTTACCTTTCCCAGCCGTCACCAGGCCAGCCTGCCCCATCCACCATTGTCGATCAACTGACCTCGCTGGCCCATAGCAACACAGGCTCTGCGGCCCTCCAATGCGCTGTGGTAACCGGGTGACCTCTATCACCAGTGGGCCGGACCTTCCACATTCCACCCTCAGTCTCAGCTGGAGTTGAACACAGCGCGCCAAGGCAGTCTCAGACCGTGCCGCCAAGGCGCTATTAGCATACAACAGATGATGTGACGTCATAAACTGCCAGCGTGACGTCATAGGCGCACGGCATATCATCGGCAATGTCACGACTGTGATGGTGATGGGGTTGGAGTATACTGAACGGCAGCTGTAGTGAATTGGTAATGACGAGTACCTACGCTGGGGCGAGTGAAGCTGATTTGTTATTGAGATGCCAGCTACGGCCTACGGCGAAGGGAAGGGAGGAGGGGGGGGGAGGGAGGAGGGGGGAGGGGGAGACTGGAGAGTGAGCGGGTACAGGTGTAAAAAGGGCATCGGTGATGAGCGGTGTGTGAGATTGTTTTGTTGTGTTTTTAGAGTCGGTAGACACGGTTTTACCCTCGCTAATGGGCTTGTAAGTTATTCGCTCATGATGCACTTATCAATCGATGCCACCTGGTGACCGGCCAAAAGATCAAATGCACCGAGCTCATAAGGAGCTTTGAGGGCTTTTAACAAATGTCAGAGAAATTCAGAATGATCAAATGCCATATTTCAACACGAGTCACGAACTGTCACAACTTTTTAAGCACTGGACAATTTTCCAGCATTCCTCAGCATTGCCTGTGGAGTTACTGGCCAGCAGCCCATCTAACTGCTGTCCGTCCCAGCGTTAGTGTTGGTGACATCTGTCCCGTCCGTTCCATGTATTCCATGTGTCCCGTCTGACTCATCTGTCCCCTCTGCTCCATCTGTCTCATCTGTCTCATGTGTCCCGTCTGTCCCATCTGCCCCATATATCCCGTATGTCCCATCTGTCCCATCCGTCCCATCTGTCCCCTCTGCCCCATCCGTTTTATCTGCCCCACCTGTCCCATGTGTCCCGAGTCTGTCCCGTCTGTCCGGCGTGTCCTGTGGCTGTCTGTCCCACCTGCCCCTTCTGTCCTACCTGTCCCGTCTGTCCTACCTGTCCCGTCTGTCCGGCGTGTCCCATTTGTCTCGTCTGTCCCATGTGCTCCATGTGGCCCGTCTGTCCCACCTGCCCCATATATCACATATGTCCCGTCTGTCCCACTTGTTTCATCTGTTCCATCTGTCCCTTCTTTCCCATTTGTCCCGTCTGTCCCATCTGTCCCGTCTGTACGGCGTCTGTCCCATCTGCCCCGTCTACCCCATCCGTCTTATCTGTCCCGTCTGTCCCATCTGTCCCGAGTCTGTCCCATCTGTCCCCCGCGTTTGTTCCGTATGTCTCACCAGCTGACGGCTAGTCAAGTATGCATCTGTCTGATATATTAGACTGCAGCGGCACCTGTGACGGCCTCGTCATGGGATGGGGCTAATGCTTCCTAATGACTGTCATGTATTCAGGTGCACCGCTACTGTCACGATATAATGACACTTTGTGTACCGCTTCTGGTGCCATGTTTGCGTCAAAGCTTAAAGGAAGGGTGCCACCTTTTGGACACAACGCAGTTTTTACAAGATTAGCCTCACATGAACCTAAAAACCGGCTTCACTTACCTATGCTCGAAACGGTCAGCATTGAATCCGCACGTGAAGTTATCATTTGCGAGTTTTGCTGCCAGCATTCGGGCAGGCAAAAATCTTCAGCACTATTTCCTCGTCATGTTAAGGGTATTTTATAAAACATGAAATCAGCAAAGGTATGTATAAAAGTTATACTTTTGAAGCATGTTTTATCATTTTGAAAGGGTATATTTTTTCTTTATGGTATACACTTAAGTTTTAAAATTTTAATTGGGAAGTTTTTCTAGTAAGTTGCATGAAGGGTGAAGGGTTCCATAGATCTCTTAAGCATTGTAAAGGAAAAACCTTTACTCGACTTATTTGATGTTCTTTTGACGTTGGCAAATATGGCCAACAGTTACCTACTTGGTTACCTACAACTTAGTTCAAATCATGTTATCTTCTTCCTCTTTATTTGTTCATCTTTTTGTCTCAGTTGCGCCATCAATGCAAATGGCAGAATGATATGTTGCCATGACAACAGGATATGCCAGCCGTCCTAGCTGCCACATCAAACGACCTTGAGTTGTAGAGGTGATATAAACAACAATCTTTTTTTGGCCAATGTATTAAATGCAATGTTTCGGTTTTTTGTATATTGTGGACGCGCTAACCACGTCTAAAAATTCAAATAAGTAAAATAGATTCATAGAACAAAAATTTCGGAAGGTGGCACCCTTCCTTTAATACATACAGTAACGCCGCTAAAAAATTATGTTGCAGAGATATTGCTGTCGGGTATAAGCAGATTCGGAGTGGTTTGACACGGAAACATGACTCGACCCACAAACTGTTGACAATTTTTCACCATCCAGTTGAAACTCACAACTAAACCCGTCAAAAGTCACATGAGCTTTGTGTCGTGCTCGCCATGGTAATGTTTACCTACGCGTCTCATATTTTTTGCCATTATTACATATTATGCCTGCTTCTATTTTTGCGTGCGGAATAGCAAAAGTCCTGCCCTAACTTGGTGATAGAGTGAATCATTTTCATCAGGATTCCAGGAGGCCACCGCCCCAGATACCTTCCGATTGATTCATGATCAGCATCCTGAAGGAACGTCGAGGGCATTGTATAGTTTTCAGTGACGTCACAGACCGCCCAGTGACGTCACTAACCATGTGTTCCCGCTAGGCGACCGCGGTGTTTGTTTAGGGATAGCTACTGGAAGACGCGCGCGCACTCGCTCTCGTCTGCTCCCCTCTCAAACAGCTGGAGGATTTTCCAGCTGTGTCGTAGAATTTCTGCTCAGAATCTATGACACATGATTATCCTTCGCTGAGGACGGGGGAGGAGTTTGCAGGAAGACTTAATGTGTGCCACATTCCTAACAGGGGCGGAGCTTCCTATACAGTTGGTGGGGCGGCTGCCCCACCAACTTTGCATTTTGCCCCACCAATGAGCGTTTTGCCCCACCAACTTTAGGAGATTTCTAAGACTTTGTTGCTTTGCAAATTAATATTTTTCGCATTGAAGAGCTTTGAAATGTTTGTTTAATGCAAAATAATAAGTCTGTAATGATAGGAATTGATTCAGTGTGGCATTTCATTTAACTTTATAATCGGACATTGTGGGTTTGACGACTTTTTGCCCCACCAACTTCCCTGAAAAACTCCACCTATGACTCCTAATGAACTGTGATCTCATCCTTTACGCATAGTTCCGTCTTCAGAAGTAGATGGATAAACACTGCGATGTTCTTAGAGGTCTGGTGCGTAAAAATGTATCATGGTTCTGATTTGGTGACTTCAATCCCAACAGACCTCTGTTTCGGCTCAATGTTACAGCTGAATGTGTATTGACACTCTTCAATTCTCCATGACGATTGAGCATTCCACGATGCTACCGGCTACGACATAAATAACCTAAAAATATGCGCCCACCTGACTTCCACTTCTGACTTTCATGGGAGTCAGACGTGTCCAACATTAACCTTATCTATTCCGATACTTCTGTAAATATCTAGCGTTCTGTAATGTGGCACTGGCGACTGACATTCGTCTTTCTGCACGTTCTCCTTACTCTTGGATTCGTTTGGATTATCTGACTGACGTTACGGTTTCCGCATTCCTGGGAGCGCCGAACTGAGCCAGAAGGCCGCTCCTGGGCTGCACTGTAACGGTACTGAAAGGTGTCTCATATCTGCACTGGGACGTTATATGGATACTGAGAAAATGAGCTGCACAACTTCGCTTAGAAATGATCCTGAATTTGTGACTCATGAAACGAACCAACATATCGTCGAAACGGAACGTAATGATGCTGAGTGGTTACGTCCGACCGGTGGAAGGGAACGAATCGGAACGAAATTTATGGCGTAATAATATTGCTGAGCTGTGGCCTGTGAGTGGTGCCACGTTGTAGTTGCAACGGAAATGAAAGAGGCAATGCCACGTTTCCACTGGAACCAAACTGGAACGACATTGCACATTCCGTCTAGGGAATTAGGGAATTAGGAGGTCCGGGTTAACTTCAGTGAACGTACTACCAGATCAAATCACTCTTTGGACTGAAGTGTTTTCTTTCGAACATGTTAATATAATACCTATGGTATTTAACACACAACTCACACAAGTCATGATGACTTCGATTAGCTGGGTCTACCAGCTTTATAATAGTAGTTTTGGCAGGGCTGGACGGATGCTGTTACATCAAACCTATATGATATTAGCCAAAACTTGATATTGTTCTCCCAGTCGCTCCGGCTCAAATTAATTCGGGGATCGCAGCGCCCGTCTGATCTACATCGACTGAAGTAAATTCGGGTTTTCGGTGCGCCTGAATCGCATAGGAGATTCGACCATTCGGATGGACATTCTGTTGAATTTAGTGTGCCAAGCTAAGCTCCCGTATATGTGCCGCAGAATCTGAACGCTGCTGCATCGCCCAGAGCACATCTTTATCATTGCCTATATAGGGCCTCGGGCCTTGTATCATCGCAGCACTGCAAGCGCCGGGTGATCACCGATGAATTATAGGCCAGCGCACGTGCGATACTCGGCAGAGATCTGCGCTGCATTGAGCACATTGCACAACACCGACCCCGGTAGCGGTGGAGACTGCACCTGAGCGAACCTAGGCCCGAGCATTGCGGTGTGCGTGCGGTCCGCGCAGCTGCACTCGGGCGAGTGAACAGACGCAAAAAATCTGCAGCCGGCGCCCTCAATGTGACCTGTTGGGCTCGCGGCCGCTGGGCTCTGCTTGTGCAAGTGATGGTGATTACTTGACTCATTTGACTCATAAATCTCGGGGAGTAGGGTTTTGTTCTAGCGTCGGCACGCCATGTTGATGATGGTAAACTTAATGAAGGAGCAGGTTAATTTGCATCATGTATGATGATACCCGATGTAAACATGTGGTTTGGTGTGATGAATTAACTGAGCTCTAGCGAATAGCATGGTGTGTTCTCGGTACTCAAGGAACACAAACCGAATTAAGACATGGTTTTTCCTTTGTAAACTTATGATAAGTGAACCAACCCCTTACAATATCTGTTCTAAGGCTCCCTAACTTTTCCTCTTTTCGACAGGGCCAGCAAAACTATGCACCCGGTAGACCTTTTCACGGACTATATAAAGTATAAACCCAGCAAACAGGCCCCATCCGTCTCCCCAACAGTAACATGATTACAGGCTTGGGTTCCGACGGCCCAGCTAAGAGTAGCACGCCTCTCATGCTCTTTTCCCCTACATCAACGACAGACCCTCCTTCCTGAATTCAGGAAGGAATTCAGGAAGGAATTAAAGGCCTGTTAACAGGCCCTAAACAGCAGACCCTCGTTCCCGACAAGCACTCACCACAGGCTCCCGTTTCCCCCACAGACCTAGATGATACATATAGGTACTTCTTCCCCAACAGACCCTAACGTCTGCGCCCTCCCCGTTCTTCTCTCTCATAGGCCCTGACGACGGCCGGGACAGCATCCTGTTCATCTGGCCGCTGGTGGTGGTGCACACCATAGACGAGCGATCACCGCTCTACCACATGTCGGCCGAGGACCTCCTCCACAAGGAGCGCTTCGAGATTGTCGTGATGCTCGAGGGAAGCACCGAGTCGACAGCGATGGAGACGCAGGCGCGCAGCAGCTACATTCCCAGCGAGATACTCTGGGGGCACAGGTGGGTTATATGGGGGGGGGGGATCCTCTGGGGCATAGGTGAGTTCATCGGAGACAGGAGATCCCCTGGGGCATAGGTGAGTTAATTTGGGGAACAGGCACATGGGATCCTCTTGGGGCACAGGTAGGTTAATTGGGGACAGGGGAGATTCTCTAGGGACACAGGTGGGTTAATCGGAGACAGAGGAGAGTCCCTAGTGTTGCAGGTGGGTGAGGGAGGCAGGTAGGGGAAGCTACATCCCCAGCGAGATACTCTGGGGGCACAGGTGGGTTATATGGGGGACATGGGGTCCTCTGTGGCATAGGTGAGCTAATTGGGAGGATCCTCTGGAGGCACAGGTGGGTTAATTGGAGGGGGATCCTCTGGGGCATAGGTGAGTTCATCGGAGACAGGAGATCCCCTGGGGCATAGGTGAGTTAATTTGGGGAACAGGCACATGGGATCCTCTTGGGGCACAGGTAGGTTAATTGGGGACAGGGGAGATTTCCTAGGGACACAGGTGGGTTAATCGGAGACAGAGGAGAGTCCCTAGTGTTGCAGGTGGGTGAGGGAGGCAGGTAGGGGAAGCTACATCCCCAGCGAGATCCTCTGGGGGCACAGGTGGGTTAATTGGGGGACATGGGGTCCTCTGGGGCACAGGTGGGTTTATCGGGGGATAGGGGATCCTCTGGGGGCACAGGTGAGTTAATCGGGGACAGGGGAGATTCCCTAGTATTACAGGTGGGTGAGTGAGGCTGGTAGGGGAAGCTACATCCCCAGCGAGATCCTCTGGGGGCATAGGTGGGTCAGAGAGGGGTGACCCCGTTATCATTTGGTGACGGGCGAGGTCCACCGGGGCTCGGCTCTAAGGGAATGTTGAGGTCGTGGGAGAGAGACGCGTATATAATGCCATGCCTCATTCCGATAGACGGTGATCTAAATGGGTCAAGTGCAATAATATCTTATGAAGTCTTCAACACTAAGAGCTCTTTATGTCCCAGAAAAGACCCCATTGTCTCTTCATATCAATCAACTTAGTGTCATTTCTCGCCGCTAGCCATTTCAGTTGTTTGTTCAGTTTATTTTTGGGGTCCAGAGGCCTCTTGCACCAAACTACCTAGCTAGGTAAAATCGAAAAACCGGTCTCAGAATAAGCTAATCTAACGGTGGTAAATTTGTTTGCAATAGCTCAATACATAATCCTACATGTGCTTGCTAAATTTTGCACGCAAATTGTTACATTTCAGACTTGGACTGGGTATACGATGCAAAATAATCCAAGCATTGGTGCAAGAGGATTTTGGTGCAAGAGGCCTCGGCTCACAAATTGGTACAAGCTCGTGGCTTTCTTTGCCCTGGCTCTCCTTCCCGCTCAGCGAGTCTCGTGCCTCACCCGCTGTGGCACCTCCCGGCAGGTTCGAGCCGATCATCAACTTCCGTAAGGAGACGGGCGAGTACTGGGTGGACTACAGCAAGTTCAACAGCACCTACGAGGTGGACACGCCGCTCTGCAGCTCCAGCGAACTCGACCAGTTCCGGAAGATCCAGACCGAGAGCGTACAAAGTGAGTTGGGGCGGTGAAACCAAATCGGCGCGTCGTGACAAAGGCTGAGGGAATGTTTGTCAAGCGGTGCGAATGTAGCTTTCTTAGGTTGAGAGTAAGTTGATAAGGTTTGTGAGGGTGGCGTTTTTAGGTGGAGTCTGGGGGTGGCATTTGAGTCCCTCAGTCCCCACGGGTCGAGTTAAATCTTTGAAGTTTGATGACGAGATAGTGCAAGGTGCTTTACAATTTGCGGCTAAAATCGCCCTGAAAGTATTTGTTTTATTGTCAAAGTCAGCTCAATGATAGTTTGACCAAATTACCAAACTCAGAGTTTTATTCATAGGGCATTTCTTATTTTTGTTTTATCGCGTATGATATATGGGATATAGTTAGCATCGCAAAAGAAGGCAGCCGATAGCTTATTTACAGTCATTCCATAGTTGACCGCCATTTCGCGACTTAAAGGCCGTTTTATTCTCGCGGCTTCGGCACGGAGACTTTCATAACTCTGCAGAGTTCAACTGGCTAAAACTGGAATTCATATTCAGTTGCCCAACTCATCGTCATGAACTACGCCGAGCAGAAAATAAACAAAACTAATTTAAAGCGACCGCGATGCTTGATAACAACAGCCTGCACGCGACGTCTGAGTATGATAGGGACACAGACATCGCAGCTCCCACCTTTAAACCAACTTTACACCGTCACAATGGATTTACAAGTCTGGGAAACAGGCTCAAAGCCCGATCTACAGAGTACCTATGGCGAGAGCGCAGCCAAGACCCTTCCAAAGACATTCCTGAGCTCATGTGGGAAAAGTTCGCAGCTGAGCGCCGTACCAGTCATGCGGCTGGGATTTCTGTTCGATGTCTGTTTATAAATAGCGGATGGGCAGCGGTGGCGGTGCAGAAAGCTATAGGAGATCAGAGATGGGAACATGGGCGCGGGGAAGCCAAGGGGCCAGGGGGACTGGTTTACAAGGAGCCTGCCTCGGCGAGGGTTTGATGCCGCGAGGTGATATTGGTTGCAAAGTCTATAGCGACATAAGTCTAAGGCAAAAGTACTTTTTTTTGCTGCAATGAAAAGTGTGGCTGCAGGATAAACTCAATGCTTAAGTTGTGTTCAACATTAATTATGTCAATTAGCAGGCATAACCATGTATTTGTTTTCAGTATTCTTGAAAGCGATATGAAGAGCTTATGTTGATAATAATAAAGAGTGACTGAATGTCTAATGGGTGAATGTATGAAACTCACTAGCTAGTCATGTTCCCGCTAATCTTCTACGAAGTTACTGAAGCGTACTGCAATAAATCACGACTTAAGTTACTTCCACATGGTGCCAGTTTAACCACCACTGTAGCTTGCATGACAACCTCCCCTTACTCAGCAGTAGTCCGCGCTAAGCCTCACACGAGCACATCCAGAGAACTCTCCCGACTAACCACGTAGATTATGACGCCGTCTGAAGTTGCCGACTGAATTATCTGAGGCGCTGACAGAGTCGACAGTTGTGTACATTATCTCACAGTTGTCTCTCGCCACCCCACGCGGAGAGTTTGTGTCAGCTGCTCAGACGAGACACGTTTTTGTGGTCCTTGAGTGGTCGCTCGGTTTTGGAGACATTGAGGAGACATTTGAGACACGGAGGAAACATTTGAGACAGATGAGACATAAAGACATTGCGAAGACATTTGGGACAATGAGGACACATCAGAAACATCAGAAAGATTGAGACATTGAGGAGGCATTGAAGGGACAGAGGAGACATAAGAGACATTTTGGAGACAGTTGGGACACCGATGAGACATCAGAAACGATGAGACATTGGATAAACATTGGAGACACCTAGGGGTGGCTCAGAAACACAGACACATGCTCTCTAGGCGGCTGCAAGTGGTTTTTCACACGGTGGAATCGTGAGCCGCCACTTGAGGCGACATAAGTGATGTGGGACTTTGTCTTTGAAGGGCCTCCTCAGATAGATACGGCTGTGATAATTGATATGAGCGAAACTCGGCTTGTTTTGAACTTAGCACTTGACAGTGAACAGTAATGCTATTTTTAAAAGGCGGCTATGTGGTTAAATGATGTGTCCATTGTTTATAGAAAGTTTCCTGACTCGAATAAGGGCCGCGAATTGACCATCGAACTGCGTCATGTTGCACAACAGCTTACCATTGCCTTGCGATATACGCGAAGATAAGACATTCAATCAATATTTAATAATCTGCGACACGGCGAGTCACGGCGACATTTACATACGCTAGTCGGACGAAAATGTTTGTAGGTAGTGAGTAGAGATGTCAATCGGATACCAACTTTTTGGTATACCGATACCAAACCGATACCAACTCGGTATTTGGTATTTCAATCCTAATGTGTTTGGTATTTTGTTGGTATCATGAACCCTCGCTAATGTTTAAGAGGCTAAGAAATAGGTAAAAATTTGTTATTCTCCTCATGTTCCCAAGTTGGTTTGGTTTCGGTATTTCTCCACGGTTTTGGTTGGTATTTGGTTTGGTATCGGTATTCCGATTTTCCGTAATTGACATCACTAGTAGTGAGGTTCACATGTCAGAAAAATATGTTTTTTTTTTTGTTGGGTTAGGCCCTTTTGGTCGACAAGACCATTGCAGAGCCGGAAGGATGACAGGAATTAGGGGGAGACATTGGTCTGGGCAGGCACCCTAGTGAGTCGCCGGGGCTGAGCCCGTCCAGAGGACAGGCCACCCAGCCCCAAGGCACTCACTGCACCCGGCTACGGGGTGCGCTCCCTCAGGAGCAGCGGTGCCGCTCCAAGGGAGCAGCCCGCATGAGATAAAGTTGCCTGTCCAGCCCGGAGGGGGGTTGTGGCGTGGAGGAGAAGGATTTCAGTATCCTGAGGATAGAAGCACGGATAGGTGTCAGAAAAATACTTTGGACGAAGTATAAGTGGAGCGGCTTTGGACACGCTCCACGTATACTTTGGCCGCTTTTATTTTTTGCCGCTCATTTTTATCGTCATCATTCTGTATTATCGTTCTTTTATTGTCGTCTGTCTCAAACGACCACCACGCTCCGATTTAAAGCGGGCCTCTCGACTTCCACTGACCTCCAGTCTGCTCCTGCAGGCTCCCAGCTGGACACGCCGCCACAGGTGACATCTAGCGGCGGCCTCAACAACTTCGACCTGCTGCGGCACCAGGCAGAGACCGGGAAGGAACAGTAGAGCCGGGCAGGCGGGGAGCGCCAACTGCATATGGTAAGAGTCGAGATAAATCATTTTGGAAATATTGAGGAGTATGATACTGAGAAACTGGGGGCTGTTTTGTATCTTCAACAACACGGAGTTTAAATTTGGAAAGCTGGAAACATGTTAGGTAGGATTAAATGGGACTGATAGAAGAACGATCTAGCAAAGGAGGCATGTAATTGATTTTTTTTATTTTGTTTCTTAGGTGCTTCGGCCGGTGTAATTAAATGCCTCCTTTTTGTAAGAACTGGCGCTCATTCACATCTTCTAAAAAAATACAGTTATTTAACAACTCAGCGTAGCCGTCTGTCCTGTACCGTTCGACGTTTATTATTTCAGGCCAGCGTGCACGGATGTGGGGTCGGTTAAATCTGACAAATGTCTCATTATGAGGCAGCCGACAGAGCCCAGCTAAACAAAACACACTTCACTGACCGCCGACTGCTGAATAGGCAGAAACCTGCGGTCGGCGGCCGCCTTTTTATTACGGCTGTGTGCGTGTGCGCTGACGTAGTTTCTGGGAGCTGGGTCATAACTCATGCTGACGTAGCAATGTTTATGAGACGGACCATTGCTCTGGCCGGGTGTGCGTCGGGGGTGTGTTTAAATGGGGCTAATGGTTGGGGTTAGTGACCAGGTGATGTACTGGGGCCCGGGGGTTGTCATGTTGAGTAATTGAACCGATTGATTTCGTGGTTCCCATGAGTTGACTCTATAGAGAACTAGGATCCAACCAGTTATGGTCCAAAATCTAGAATCATTTCTGGCAAATGCCGATGTCAGTCCTGCCATTGAATGTCTGGGGGATGCTTAGAAGAGTGGCCTCGATTCATCTAGTATCCGATTCATTTGCCATAACTGCATTTCCTACAACGAACTACTTAATCACATTGCACCTTTTCGTGAAACGTTAAATGCTTTGACAACGAAACAATATGCAGCGAAAAATGGTGTTTTTTCTTGGGTTAGGCTGTTTCGGTCTAACGAGACCATTTCAGAGCCGGAGAGATAATAGGAATTAGGGGGAGACATCGGCCTGGGCGGGCACCCTAGTGACCCGTCGGGGCTGAGCCCGTCCAGAGGGCAGGCCACCCAGCCCCAAGGTACTCACTGCACCCGGCTACGGGGTGCGCTCCCTCGGGAGCAGCGGTGCCGCTCCAAGGGAGCAGCCCGCATGAGATAAAGTTGCCTGTCCAGTCCGGAGGGGGGTTGCGGCGTGGAGGAGAAGGATTTCAGTTTCCTGAGGATAGAAGCATGGAACGGTGATACACGTTGACACGTTATACACGTTATACTCGTTGCTGACTAGAATTCGTCGTGTCCAGGACAGATTTATGGCAAAGTCTTGCAGCAATATCGTTACTGACATGGCTTATTTTCTGTGTTCGTTGCAGCTTTACCGGAGGCCGAACATCGAGCCAGTCTTCCCAGCTCAGCTCAGCCTCAGAACCTGGCGCTGGGTAGTTCCAAATCTGGCCACCAGAGGCGCTACCCTCGACGCGCTGGCGAAGGTCACCGCGACTGCAGCGCCATCTGGCAGCCAATCAATGGTACCACAGCTTGCCGCCAGGTGTTCCACTCGCAGCCAGGCAGCCCTCACCGCCATCCGTCGCATATCGCGTGCAGCAGTTATTTGTAACTTATCGTGCATCGAGTGATTCAGTGAAAACGGGAGTGGCTTAAAATGCAACCACTTTTTACAGTCACTTCACCAGAAATCTAAACTGAACGAGAGGTCTCTTGAAATCACCATAGCCTTTGCATGTGCATTAACTGAAGGATCTGGTGTATATGCACAAAGATCTGGCGAATACGACTGGTTTCTGAGGCATTCCATAAGCTAACAGCGAGGTCATAGAGAAAAGCGCCGAGAGTGTGAATACAGCGCCCAACGTTCATACCGAGATTCGAGAGAGATATTTGATGTCGCATTGTGCCATTGCCTAGTGTTAGAGTGGCGAGGGTACCTATCGCGAACGTCTCTATCAGCGAATTTGTGTAAACTCGATGAATTTGAGCGGGGGACGTTTCGGTGTGATGCCGTGTTCGATCCATCGTCAGCCTTCCCCAAACCGACTTCGCATGATAAGAAGGGCGGCGCTGTTCAAGAACCGTCGTGAGTGCTTGAAGGCTGTTCAAGCACTCATAAAACGTATTGACTCAGCTCATTTTGTATGGACCGCTTAAGACATATATGTACACTGGATGGAGGTGTTTTCTACTGTTGTATATTTCATGTATATAGACGAAGAGGACCACGGCATTTTGTAGAGCTTGTAGGTAGGTGTGGGAGCGACTGTTCTGTTTACAGTTAGTGTTGAGGATACCGTTGCTTCGCTTTCGAACTTCTTTCAAACTGAGGCGGATGCGTTTTGAATGTTTGAAAGCATGCTCATTATAAGTTATCATACTATGTATGTATCGATATGTTTCTTTTTCGGGTTATCAATCACGCAATCGGCGCAAGAGGCTACATCAACCGCATGGTCTTTCATCTAGTGCCTCTGACTGGTAAAAGCGACCTTATCAGCAGCTGGCACTGGAGCCGTTGGCCGAATTGGGTGATTGAAAGCCGGAGCTTTAGTTTTAGAGGAACAGCTCAATGGAGGTGTTGGAACCAAAGTGGTCGGAACGTGCCTTCAAATAAAAGTTACTGACGCTATTTTAAGCCGAGTCTGGATATTGGTTATTTACACAGCGAGGAACTGTTCGACCGAGACCTCGCTGTCTCGACCCTGATTCGTAGGTAGGCACTTTTTTGCGTGCAGGGACGTAGCCAAGGAGGGGGCTAAGGGGAGCATTTTCTCCCTCCCTGAAAGCGATCAAGCAAAATCCTGGCTACGTGCCTGTTTGCGTGTAACTCAACTGCTATGTATTTAACGTCAATGCTTGCATTTATAAGGGGTTACAACTTGACCGGTACTCAGAGAAATCCAGTGGACGACTTAATGCCGCAGGACGATGAACAATACTGCTAGACGGTATAGGAGTCGTTAAATACGTGATCGTTCACGATGATAGTCAAACTTATGATCTACTTAACTCGGCTAAAATCATTTTGCGTGTATTATTGGGTAATGTTGTTATCAGATATGTACCGAACGGATCTGAGGGGCGACCGATTTGTAAATGCGGATGATATAAAGTACGATTACGATTAGACTACCATTTATCACGATTACGTAACAGAAAATCTAGGAGTGTATCTGAGCAATTTAGGTGCGATTACTGAAACTCCACATCATACATTGCATCCATGGATGAAACACATTCTCATTTGAGTCATATACCTACTAAGGAACCGGAATGAATCTACCAATGGTCGTGAAACAATCTTACTGTATATAAACCCGGCACCCGCCGTACACGTAAACGGTTTTCTATTGCGTTTTTTTTTTCTTTTTTGACGTTCTAGCTCGATAGGTTCACGACATGTAGTATGTATGTACCATTTAGTATAAAGTATTGAAAATAAACATGAAAGAATACTTCCGGTAACAGGAGACCAAATATATAATGCTTCATAATCATAAGTTTTACAACTTTGTACTTCAGTGAAGATAAAGCAGTTCGTGTCCTGGGTCGACCCTGCTCCCCCGGATTCTGTGCCTGGCACCGCCTCTGCCAGCCACTGCGGCCCGCCCCAGTCGCCGTGCCTGGAGCCGCCCGTGCGTCTGTCCTGCCCCCGGGCGGTATGGGGTCGGCCGGAGTGAGGCTGGCCGTCGCGCCCGCGACCCTTGGCTCGGTGCGCTCGGGACGGGCGGGCGGCTCGCGGCCTGGTGGAGAACTTTGGTTGAAATATCGCTGATGTTTTTTAAAGGTAAGCAAGCCGATATTTTTATTGATGTAGGGCGGTATTGTACAATGTGTTGAGCTGTTTTAAGGATCATTTGGCATTTAGTGAGGCTGCAAATTGTGCAATAACCACGTACCATTATGTACATAAATAATGTAATATTGCACGGATATTTTAAAATGCTGCAGCTCCAAGACAACTCTTGTGTGACTTTGAAAATAATTGGGAAGTAGATGATTGAATAAATGAACGAAGTAGATGATTGAAAACTGAACGATATTAATATTTCTGTATTAATATTTTCATAATAGCATCTTCGTTTTAAGTTTTAACATGTTTGAGTGCCAAAATAAGCGAGTGAGCTAAGAGCTTACATTTGTGTTCCCAAAATGTGCGTTATTTAAAATGTGACTATATTACTACCGCTGACGAAGTGACAAATATAGTCACGAAACTGTCCAGAACAGCTGAGCACACCCTTTTTTCGCAAGCGGCATATATTTGTTCCTAGTGGCTCGAAAAAGACATATTGAACAGTGGACCCTTACATTTTTTGAGCAGCATACGAATGTTGTAAATTGTCATAAAAAGCTACATAAAAGCGTGTTTGGCCCGCGCCCCACTGGGGGGGGGGGGGGCTATTTATAGCCCCTCCCGTTTTTCTGCAATAACTTCCAAACCACTTGACGTATCGACGCCAAACTTTCAGTACCTTCGGCTGCATCAATTTAACTTCGTAGCTACCATAGGTCGGCCGGAAATGACGTCAGAGTGACGTCATGTTCGGCCGATTTCGACGCAAAACATTGAACCACGGCAATCGCTCCCGAGGGCTCAGTTTTTAAGCTAGATCCAATTTCTTTGCATGAGAGGACTCAGAATAGACTGCGCTATCAAACTGCCATCTCGGATATTCGAAATTTTGAAAACTTCGAAAATTTGATATAATACAATTCAAAATTTATATTTTTGCATTTTTTCAAAAAGTTTTTGACTTTTCGAAAAAAAACCGGAATATATGTGATAGAACGCGTTATTATGACTAACTCTAGCAAGTTTTAGCCAAATATCTTCAAAAATGGCCAAGTTATACGCATTATTGCAAAAAATTCACAATTATTAATTTTTCAAATCAATTTTTCACCACGTAACCGCAGGTTGTTTGAAAAGACAAACACTATTCGTTAGAATTGTGTTTTTCTATTGAAAAACAACCGGAGCGGTCCTTCTCCGGGCTATGTTTTGCATGTCTGGCCGCGAATTGGGGCAACTTGGGTCAGGCCTAAACTTGTGGCTCGATTTTCTTAAAAATTTCAGGGTATGGGCTCCCGCAGGCGATCTACCTGATGGCACCGGTCGCTACTCGCTTAAAACCTCGTGGCACGTGGCACGTGCGATTCCATTTTCCCCATGTTAAGTCAACGGGGTTTTGGACACTTTTTGCGCGATCGCCAATGGCGGGAAAACGAGCCAAGGAAGAGGTGGTTTTCTTCCCAGCATTTTATGGAAAACACGTTTGGGTACACGCTAGTGTGCGCCGTATACCCCTCAGAACTTCGTAACGTGTCTTTGCACGAGGTCAAAGTTGAACTTTTTTCGCTCCCCATGTTAAGTCAATGGGCGTTTTTGCAGAGACTTTTTCATTCGCTCATTGTACAAAATTATATGATACGATTTTGTTTAAACTTCCAGGACTTGTTGAGAAAAGACCATAGAACATGTTGTTATGCTTCTTTAAGCTGTGCAAATTCGTTTGTTCTTTTTAGGCTCGTTTAAAAATGAAAAATTTTAACATGGAAAGTCAATGGGAGCGTCTTTGCTGCTTAATAACTTTTTACAGTTGAGATATATTTAAGTGAAAAGTTGATAGGTTATACAACTTTTGATGCTCTTTCCAGTGATATATAGAACGTCATTGCACGTTGTGCCGTTTTCGAGAAATTTAGTAAAAAAGCACGACATTACCGAGATTTGAGCTCACACCTATATATGGTCTTGCTCAGACAGTATACGAACAGGTGACGGGGATACCTCCCATAGAAGGATGCGATTTAATGCTAAATATTAGCGGCCGGCCTCCGTGGGGACGTTTTTGTACGACTTATATCTCCGCAACCAGTGGACCGATACACTTGCGGTTTTTTGTGTGGGGTAGCGTATATCCTTCTTAGAAGTATTTACTATGGATGATGCATGCCGGTGACCCCTACTGCACGTGACACGTGTAAATCGGAGAGGTGTCACTTTTGTTGTAATGACAATAACACGGTAATTACTTGGCTGATTGCACTGAAACTACACAAGGATGTAGGCACCCGCCGCACCATGCCTTTTCATGTGCTATGGTTGGGGTGCAACTGCACGTGCGCACGTGCAGGGTGACGCTTCGAGATCTCGAGAACGGCCGGGCCGATTGAGTTCAAATTTGGTACAGCGCTAGAGACCGGTTAGTAGGGTGCCGTGCGCAAGTCAGTTAGGACCCATCTTGCACGTGCGCACGTGCAGGGTGACGCTTCCAGATCTCAGGAACGGCTGGGCCGATTGCATTCAAGTTCGGCACACCTTTAGAGACCGGTTAGTAGGGTGCTGTGCACAAGTCAGTTAGTATGTATATTCATGTGTCACGGTTGGGGTGCAACTGCACGTACGCACGTGATAGGGGTCGCTTCCAGATCTTGAAAACGGCTGGGCCGATTGAGCTCAAATTCCGTACACCACTAGAGACCGGCAACTAGGGTGCCGTGCACAAGTCAGTTGGGACCCAGCTTGCACGTGCGCACGTGAAGGGTGCCGCTTCAAGATCTCGAAAACGACCGGGCCGATTGCACTCAAATTTTACACACCTCTAGAGTGGTTAGTAGATTGTCCTGTTCGTCAGTTCGTAGCGCACCCACTCCGGTCTGCACGTGCCAGGCTCATCCTCTCGTTTGGCGGCGGGTAGCTATGTTTTGCATGGTTGGCCGCAATCGAAATGTGTCTGTGATTGCTGTAGAAGACTAGACCAGGAAACAATCGGTGAGTGCTACCAAAACACAATAACCTCCGCCCGATTGGGGCGGGGGCGCTTGTAGCCACACCTATTAGTTTTTTTTTGCGTTTGTTAAGAAAATTACTACGCGCATTGTTATAAAGCTTTGTATGATAGATCAATTTCAGCGGCATGGTTGGACCTCTATGTAGGCACACACCTGACACCGGCTGCGGCAATTGCGCTTAAATCTTCATTCATGCGGCTACATACGGAAGAGGTGGCACTGTGGCGCAACATGCTATCAGGTGTTTGACACTTCTGCGTCATCTAGCGAGTAAAATAGAATGTTTGGCTAAAATGCCAGACGCATTTACCACACTCGATAATTGTCCTCAAAAGCTTCAGTTTTTTGCGAGTCATCAGTTCTAAGGAGATAGTGGTTCTCCCGGATCCCTCATTACTCCGCCATTCATTTAGGCGGTTATATACAATAGAGCCGGCATTGCGGCACAGCATAAATTCAGGCGTTTGACGCTTCTGCCATCTAGCGAGTAAAAAGGAATGTAAGGTGTTTTCGGCTGATATACAGATCCGTTGAAACATCAATATCAAACTTGATATTCGGCGCAAGTCAATGACTCTGATTCGAATGGTGACGTCGACGGCTACCGTGACGTCACCATTGCGTCAATATTGATTAACCCTCGCCGGCAGAGGGGCAGCACCCGCCTACTTCCCATAGGGGTTTTCGTGCTAGCTCGGGACACGCCGGCGACAAAGTGCTGAAACTTGGAAAACCTGACCTATGATTCAAGCCGGATCTTCTGGTTAGGTAAGGTCACTGACCTAATGTGCCACGATTGGGGTGCAACTGCACGTGCCCACGTACAGGGTGACGCTTCAAGATCTCGAGAACGGCCGGGCCTATTGTGCTCAGAGTTGGCACACTACTAGAGACCGCGTAGTAGGGTGCCTTGCACAGGTCAGCTAGGCCCCAGGCTGCACGTGCGCACGTGCAGGGTGACGCTTCCAGATCTCAAGAACGGCTGGGCCGATTGCATTCAGATTCGGCAAACCTTTAGAGACCGGTTAGTAGGGTGCTGTGCACAGGTCAGTTAGTATGTACATATATTCATGTGTCACGGTTGGGGTGCAACTGCACGTGCGCACGTGTAGGGGTCGCTTCCAGATCTTGGAAACGGCTGGGCCGATTGAGCTTAAATTCGGTACACCGCTAGAGACCGGCAACTAGGGTGCCGCGCACAAGTCAGTTTGGACCCAGCTTGCACGTGCGCACGTGAAGGGTGCCGCTTCAAGATCTCGAAAACGGCCGGGCCGATTGCACTCAAATTTGGCACACCGCTAGAGACCGGTTAGTAGAGTGCCGTGCACGTCAGCTCGTAACACACCCACACCGGTCTGCACGTGCAAGGCTCATCCTCTCGTTTGGCGGCGGGCGTTTTTGCGGCGTTACAGAGGTGCTTGCTCAAACAACCTGCGGTCCCGCGATGCGGAGCCCAGCATCGCAGATGCTGGTAACCGCAGGTTGTTTGAAAAGACAAACACTATTCGTTAGAATTGTGTTTTTCTATTGAAAAACAACCGGAGCGGTCCGTCTCCGGGCTATGTTTTGCAAGTCTGGCCGCGAATTGGGGCAACTTGACCGGGGCCTAAACGTGCATTGCGATTTTCGTAAAAATTTCAGGGTATGGGCTCCCGGGGGCGATCTACCTGATGGCTTCGGTCGCTACTCGCTTAAAACCTCGTGGCACGTGGCACGTGCGATTCCATTTTCCCCATGTTAAGTCAATGGGGTTTTGGACACTTTTTGCGCGATCGCGAATAGCGGGAAAACGAGCCAAGGAAGAGGTGGTTTTCTTCCCAGCATTTTATGGCAAACACGTTTGGGTACACGCTAGTGTGCGCCGTATACCCCTCAGAACTTCGTAACGTGACTTTGCACGAGGTCAAAGTTGAACTTTTTTCGCTCCCCATGTTAAGTCAATGGGCATTTTTGCAGAGACTTTTTCATTCGCTCATTGTACAAAATTATATGATACGATTTTGTTTAAACTTCCAGGACTTGTTGAGAAAAGACCATAGAACATGTTGTTATGCTTCTTTAAGCTGTGCAAATTCGTTTGTTCTTTTTAGGCTCGTTTAAAAATGAAAAATTTTAACATGGAAAGTCAATGGGAGCGTCTTTGCTGCTTAATAACTTTTTACAGTTGAGATATATTTATGTGAAAAGTTGATAGGTTATACAACTTTTGATGCTCTTTCCAATGATATATACAACTTTATTGCACGTGGTGCCGTTTTTGAGAAATATAGTAAAAAAGCACGACATTACCGAGATTTGAGCTCAGACCTATATCGTTACGGTGTCAGGCGGACACGAGGACAGGTGGCGCCGCCGCCGCCCGCATAGCGGCGGGAATGTGAACTAACCTGTTTACCATCTATGGTATGGTACCATCGGGGGACCGGCCGCCGTCGGCACCATTTCGGGACTTTGCATCGCAATAAAAGGCTTATTTACAATTGAAAATGGACTAGCGAGAGTCGTTATGGAATCAGAATTTGATGCTCTACAAAACTAGGCTATTTTCATTGTGATGGCATCACAGACTACACCGCTAAACCCAATAAAGCAGATTTATGTCGCGTCATCGATGATTACATATAATGTATCATTCTTTGATATATATGTAGTCGGGTCTTTCAGCTGCGTCCCTCCCCTCCCTCGCCGCGCCGGCGGGTCGGCCATCCGTGGCTTGCCGCCCGCCGGCTGCTGGCCGGTCAGCTGGCCGGTCAGCTGGTCGCCCGCGGCTGTCGGTGCAGTGCGGGATGCCTACTTGCGGGGGGGGGGGGGGGGGCCGTCGTGGCGGCGGCCCGGGTGGACTGGGCGAGCAGTGAGTTGGGGAGCGCTGCGCTGTCGGTGCTCTAGTTTGTATTGCGTTCGCATGATACGGCTTGAGCCAATACAGAGTGAACTGATTGAGCTGAGCAAGTCTTTACATACATTGAAAAGTAAAGCACTTTTTACTGCATCTACGGTGAGATGCTAGATAAAATTTATGGTCTACCTAATGGTACCCATTACTTAACAATTAAGTGAATCATTTCGTCGCTAAACTCTCGTAAATTCGTATGTCCGCCTCACTATGGAGTTTGGACCGTAACGTATGGCCTTTGCTCAGACAGTATACGAACAGGTGACGGGGATACCTCTAATAGAAGGATGCGACACGATTTTACTGCTAAATAGCGGCCGGCCGCCGTGGGGACGTTTTTGTACGACTTATATCTCGGCAACCACTGGGCTGATACACGTGCGGTTTTTTTGTGTGGGGTAGCTTTTTCCCTTCTTTCACATAGTGTGCTACTCTCGATGCATATGGGTGACCCCTAACGCACGTTCCACGTGCAAAGCCAAGAGGTGCCTGTTTTGTAATAAGCGCAATAGCTCGCGGTAATTACTGGGCCGATTGCGCTAAAACTTGGCATGGAGGTAGACACTTTCCAGGCGATGCATTTCCATGTGTCTTGGTAGGGGTGCAACTGCACGTGCGCACGTGCAGGGTGACGCTTCCAGATCTCGAGAACGGCTGGACCGATTGTGTTCAAATTTGGCATAACGCTTGATACCGATCAGTAGGTTGCAGTCATTTAGTATGTATTTCCATGTGCCACGATTGGGGTGCAACTGCACGTGCGCACGTGCAGGGTGACGCTTCCAGATCTCGAGAACGGCCGGGCCGATTGAGTTCAAATTTGGTACACCGCTAGAGACCGATTAGTAGGGTGCCGTGCGCAAGTCAGTTTGGACCCATCTTGCACGTGCGCACGTGCAGGGTGACGCTTCCAGATTTCAAGAACGGCTGGACCGATTGCACTCAAATTCGGCAAACATCTAGAGATCGATCAGTAGGGTGCCGTGCACAAGTCAGTTAGTATGTATTTCCATGTGTCACGGTTGAGATGCAACTGCACGTGCGCACGTGGAGGGGTCGTTTCAAGATCTTGAAAACGGCTGGGCCGATTGAGCTCGAATTTGGTACACCGCTAGGGACCGGCGAATAGGGTCCCATGCACAATGCAATTGGACACAGCTTGCACGTGCGCACGTGCAGGGTGACGCTTCCAGATCTCGAAAATGGCCGAGCCGATTACACTCAAATTTGGCACACCGCTATAGATCAGCGAGTAGGGTGCCGTGCACGTCAGTTTGTAACACACCGACTCCGGTCTGCACGTGCAAGGCTCATCCTCTCGTTTGGCGGCGGGCGTTTTTGCTGCGTTTACAAAGGTGCTTGCTCAAACAACCTGCGGTCCCGCGATGCGGAGCCCAGCATCGCAGATGCTGGTATTTGACATCGTACGCCAATATAAATAGCACCATCGTGTTCCTGAGCTCAAACTGCATTCAATAGACACCTTTTCCGTTGAATAATTATAACTTCAAAATTTGACCTTTTTTGACCTGAAAGTGACCTGACCTAAGCTAAATTCGACTCAAAATGACCTCGAATGACACAGACTACATCAAATTCGAAATCTTTGGCCTAAATGGACCATAAAACATGTGTCACGTGACCGACGCATGATATAATATTTTCGTGACCTGTGATGACCTGACCTTGACCTGAAAATCAAAGTACAAGTTTGGTACCCTCAGGGTATCTACAGCATCTATTCACGAGTGTGTGAACCAAAAATGAGCCTGATCTGACTTGTAAGACGGCGGCCAGAGCCCAAAACGTGAACAAGCCAAAATGCTAATAATTTTAATTTGACCTGACCTGTGACGTCAGTGACCTCGAGGTCAATGAAATTAGGTTTCGCTCGACAGTTTTTCCGGGGCTATCAGACGCCGTTTGAATTTTGACGATCGGCCCAGTAGTTTCGGAGTTAGGAGGGGGGGCTATGAATAGCCCCCCCCCCCCCCCCAGTAGGGCGTGTTATACGCAGACCCCAGTGGGGCGCGGGTTAACTATTCATGTAACATACTATTTACAACAAGCGTATGCCGCTAAAAAAATAAATATGCTTAGTCCGAAGCCACCATGCCCCAGTAGTGACTCGAGCCCTGTCCCGCCGTTTCAGTGTTGGTTTGTCGGGTCAGTGGTCTGGACTGCGGTGCCGCTACCTCCCCTCTGTGCTCTGTAGACGACCACCGGAGAGGGAGCCGGTCCCGTCACGGGTCCCGCGTCCCACCGACCTGTCATCAGATTTCGAACAGTGAGTGTCATTGGGGCGGTATTATAATCCACTTTGTGTTGTGTACACGCGTCATGAACTGTGCTTTTGTTCGCTAAAATAAACATGTTTCAATCGTTAACAGACCCGTTCCCGACCAGAATCCTCTGTTTGTTGTATTTTGTCCGCATAAGGCTAGTGGTACGCTGAGGTGTTATCCTTTTTCGCTAATCGATAATTCGTTATTTCAGGTTCTCCTCCAAGAGAGATGGTGCTACTGTTTCAACACACCACCGATGTATCCGCCAATGGAAGTCAGTTTATATCAGGTGAGTCTGTGCTGTAGAAGGAGCAGCACTGAATCTATGGCACCACGTCGAACCGTGCTGGTCTTCAACTATACAAATTCGTTTGTTTTATTGCCTCAGGTGCGGCTGGAAGCTGGTGAAGCTGCTTCATCACACCACCGGGGCCCACCACTGGACTGAACTGATAGGGTAGGTCATCTATCTTTACGATCAATTATACGGTAATCAATACTTGTGTTGCTGATACAGGGTGTTTCACAATTAACGTTACAAGATCAAAGCTCAATATCTCTGGGCATAATGGCTTTATTTCCGCCAAAATTGCACCATATGCACCCAAAACCACAGAGACCAACATCCTTAAGTCCTACTCGAAGTGGCCGCCTCCAGCCTTCACAGCGGCAGCCAACCGTCTCCTGAAGTCACGGACTGCGGCACGCACAACCGCGTCGGGGGATCTTCTGCCAGGCGCTGATCAGAGATCGCTTGAGATCGTCGATCTTCTTGTGCGGTTTGGAACAGGCTTCCTTCTCGAGCATGGACCACATCGTGTAATCCATCGGATTCAGATCTGGGGATGATGGGGGCCACTGGTCCTTGGTGCTGAAGCCTGGGCAGTTGTCTTCGCACCACTGTTGGGTGACGCGCGCGGTGTGGCTTGTTGCGCCGTCCTGCTGAAAAGTCCAGCCCTTGTCTCCGTACGTCTTCTTGGCCCACGGCTTCAGCGTCTGTTCAAGGATGGTCTCGATGTAGGTTTCTTTGCTTATTTTTACGCCCTCGGGCACAAAAACCAACGGCGACTTGCCGGCCTGGCTGACGGCCCCCCACACCATCACTGAAGCGGGTTTCTGAGTCCGGAAGACTCGGAAGTCCGGAAGACCCGGAAGGTCTGTGCCCCCTGGCGACCGACAGCTGTTGCGGAGTTTCATGCACTAGTGCCCCCGATCCGCATCGCGGCGGGCCGCAGGGGGCACGCGTTAATCCACCCACACATCCCAGCCGCCAGGTCGGCTCGCCGGCCGGCACGCAAGTCACCTTTCTGACACGAGGTAGGAAATGACGTCATTGCCATTGAAGCCTGTGCGTTGAAGACTTGAAATTCATACAGGAGGTGCGTAATAGATACCTGTTGACTACACCACGCAGCCATGTACAGCCGTCTTCAAACAGGTCCGCGAGCAACAAGCTTATCACACATGCTCTAATCCTGATATTCGCAGACTCGGACCTCATTTGGATCAGTCTTTCATCTGCTACCAGGCGCGTAACCACGAGTCTGAAGCTACTGGGGACCACCTGGAAGGCCGCGAAGACCAAATATTATATTTCAGGTGTGGGATGAGATACGTGGGAAGGGTGGAAAATTGTTAAGAATAAAATCTAACTTTAAAAAGATCTTAAGCCTCGCACTGGCAGCGCATTTTTCATAACGCGGCTTGGCAGGCAGGTCAAAGGTCAAATTTCCGGGAAAAGCTATAATCTTCCAAATTACTTAGCCAGTACCTATTGGCGAATCTATGAAAGATAGCCACATGAAACTCTCACGACCGTGTCTTTCAACGAATCAGCAACAAAATGATGTAAAGTTGATTGCATTTCAGTCATTACTGGCGTGACGTATTCCCCGGGAACACGAAAAGTCACGCCCGCTGCCGGCGAGGATGGTCGCCGGCGGAAGTTCATTCTAGGTAATTGACCTTGGTTGACCTTGTAAAGGTCAAGGAACAGTTTTGAAGGCATTTAGGGGAAACTGAACCACAAATTCGGGTTCAGGACCTCAAGAAACGCCACTAAACACGGCTCATATCACGGAGGTCAGTGTGCGAACATGCGAGGTCATTACATTGGTTGATCTTAGAAAGGTCAACATACAATGTGAAGATTCATTTCCAGTCAAATTCTGACAAATCACACGGAATAGTTTCGTTCTTGTCGATGAGATCACGTCCAGTTACGGTACGTACGATTTTGTCAAAAACGGTCAGAGGTGATACCTATTATGACGTCATAGCTCGGTGACCTGACATGACCCGGAACTGCTTTTTTACCAAAAGTTGAGCAAAAGATGTCCCAGAGCTGTCGAAAATTTCAGCACGATCCGACTGATAGCTTGGCGCGCATCGCAAAAAAAAAACTCGGAGGGGGGGGGGGGTCGCATCGAATCGACCCTCTCCCCTGCCAGGGCGAGGGTTAAAATGTGTGGCGGTGAGACGCGTTCAAAGCCAAAAAGTCCTTAGCCACCTCAGTGGGCTGCACCTGCGCGCGGTCACGGTGCACATGCATTATATAGCCACTCCGTCCAGACGCCTTTGGCTCAGTGTAGACCGCATCCATGTTTTCAGCCTACGCAAGGCACTGAAGCTTCGCTCTGCGGTAGCCGATGCTGCTGGCAACACCGTCAGCTGCCTCAGCAGCTGCTCGACTTGCATGGGAGGAGAGATCAGGCGTCATGACTCAGGCTTTGGAAGGCCTCCTTGGCGTGCTTGAGGCACGTGACCTGTCTTCCCGACAGGAACACGCGCACCTGACTGGACATGGACAAGTTGTCCACCTCGAGTTCCTCGGGCCACCATTCTAACGAACTGCGAACTTTGTCCAGGCTTGCTCGGTCTGTTGGGCCACTGAGTAGCTGTTCCAGCTTTTTGGCTATTTGAGCAAATTGAGGAGGTCGTCGGTTTTACTGGGGACGGTCCCCAGCAACCCAAAAGTTACTGGGGACCGGTCCCCAGTGTCCCCAGTGGTGGTTACGCGCCTGTCTGCTACACCCATTATCTGTCCAAAGGGCATTCAAAATGCAATTAACCAGGACCAGAATTATGTGCTCTTTCCAATGGTGTATAGTATTTTCAGAAAAACCACCTTTCAGTGCACCAAAATTGAGTGGGAACTCTTGTAACGGTAATTGTGAAACACCCTGTATATCTATTCTGGTATTACGATCAATCTATCGTAATACCAATGCAGAATAGATTTACAAATTGTGTTTATATTCTATATCTTTACCGCTTCGAAGGCATGCATATCAGACATAGTAAGGAAAATGCGATTCGATCGTCTAATCTTGTGTTCATGTGCCGAAAAAGGGACAACACCGATAGTGTTTGTTCGTTAAGTACGGTTAGTAAATATTGTCCACCGCTCCCAGCAAGTGACACGATTTTCTTCTGTCGTTTCAGAGGGTGCAGCGACGCTCGAGACCAATGATCTCTGGTCCGCCAGTCAGGAGACTCTGAACGGTAAGTGCGTGCTGAGCACTGGATTTGGGCTGCTAGGGATCAGTAGGTCACCGTTGTCAATTTGATTTTTGGTCACCCAAAGGCTGGAAGTAAATAAATTACCGCATGCATTGGTTGGAACTAGGGAATGTATCGATTGATGTTTTCGACTCAATCGATGTATTTTTATTTTTTAATAATCTGTCTTTATGCAGGCATTAGGCAACATGATAAGGCTTTTATAACATACGATTTATGTAAAATATGTAAGAAAGGAATTGTATCCAAAGTTAAGCTTACGTTTTTAGTCATGAATTTTCAGCATTTTGTTGATTTCTCAGTTCTCACTCAGGTAACGCTTTTCCAAACTGTCGAAATATGTAATGTAATCATTAAAAGTTTAGGAAGATGTAATGCTGCTCTTATTTATTTCTGGTTCGTGTTTTTCTTGCTGTCATCTTTGCTCTTTATATCGATGATGAAGTATAAACCTTTTTGCAAATAGTTTTACACAAGAAATCTCCCTTTTAGCGTCCATTGACGCCGTGCCACCTCTCCCCGACAGGTGCAGCAGTACAGGAGGGAGTGTGGCGCCGGTATACAGCTGACACCAGACGTCCGTCCATTGGCCAGTCACCACGGAACCAGCGAGATTAGGAATCACATTTGGACGAAAAGATAAGTTTTAAAACTTTAAATACTCATATGATGTGAAATAAATGAAAATGTACCGTGAACTTTCGATAATTACGACATTGCTTTCGCTTTTCAGTCCACATTCAATCAAACCTTCAAATTCTTTTTATTTGTGTTCTCATTTCATGCTATAATTATATTCGTGTTCCTTGCTGTTTTTTTCATCCATTAACTCTTTTGTACTGTTATTTCAGGTTCACCTCAGCAGAGAGATGGCGCCACTGCTTTGGTGCACCACCGCCACAAGCTTAATTCAAAAAAGATAAGTTTACTGGAACTATTTTTATTTGAAATGAATGTAATGTGACAAATTAGCGCACATTTTGTGCGAAATAGATATTTATTGCTTTGTACTTTTATTTCAGGTTCACTCAAAACCACTGGTTCACCGATGGTGGCCCTGCTCCAACACACCACCGGGACCCGCCACAGGAGTCGGCTTACCAGGTGGGTCGGTGCACCGTAGGGCACTGTATTTCTCCATCGTGTTTGTATGTTCCCTCTCCGCTCTTCTCCTACACCGTCTCCGCGGTACCGCGCCTGGCGCCGCCCCTGCCTGACCTGACCTGACCTGAGGCCGGGGCCGGTCGTAGGGACCAGCTACATTCCCCGAGTGGTGCTCCGACCGTGCACATCTGCTTAAACCGTCACTGACCATGCAAAGGAAACCGATAGGAGCATTACGCTATCGAGATACCAATGCAGACTGATATTATTGCGCTGCGGCTGGAGAGTCCACACTGAACACCCTCCGAAATCGAATACCTATTGGGATATTTTCTATGACGCTACTGCACGGCAGAAGGCCATCTCGAGTTTCCCTACCTTCAGTTAACTGCAGTGGTATGATTTTGAATTTTATCGGGCGTTTGATAAACCGAGAACATTTGACGAGCTAAAAATGATTTGGTTGACTTTGGAGTAACGAAAATAGCTCAGGCTAGTCGAAAGTTAATGTCTCGAAAAAAACTACGGTATGATATCGCTTTATTTCTGGGATTCACTTACCTATTTTGATCGAGCTCAGACTTTTTAAAATAGCTGCCGTTCAAGTATTTCGTGAGACGTGAGAGGACATAGCAAGTATCTACTATCTGCTATCTGACAACTGAATGAGCTTTCATCTAAATGCCGCCAACAAAGTGGAAGAGGAGTCGTTTAAAGTCTCCCATAGTATCTCAGGAATTAAGTATTTTTCCGGCGCTTAGTTCCGTGTCAGAAACTGTAACTAAGTCAAACGCTTAAAAGCTTCAAAGACACGAAAATACTTCTTTATTCAGGAGATTTAGTTTTTTTTTAGGTCATGTGAATGTTTCTTGGTCCAGGTCAAATGTAGAAGTTGAGCATAATATTCATATTTAGGTCTCTAGTGAACGCAGCGCCGAAGATATTGAGTCCATTTTGTTTTAAGTGAGTGATGGCAAAAACTAATACCTTGAATACTTGACGTCTTTAATAGTTTTTACTGTATGCCTGGCCCATCCAAATACTACTTTGTCCTAAAATACGTCTGTCACGGAGTCAACTAATGTGTCCTCATTTTTGCTAGTTGCGTGTAGAGACATAAAAAATCTACCATAACTAAACAATAAACCAAACACAACACAATTTTACAGAAAATACATCTGTGGGATAGGCTTACTGGTGTAGAAGAACATAAACAAAATTTCAAGATGGTTGCTGCATTAGTTAGTTTAGAGTTATCCTGACAATTTGACTGGGGATGTTTAACGCCCTCTTCTTTCTGTGGTGGGATTTGTATGTTAAGCTAAGACTAAGTGGCAAATTTTGAGTCATGGCTCAAGTGACGCAGGTTTAAACTTCTGAAATCGAATCAAGGCATATTTTAAGGCACTTACGGTGTTCCATTTAGGAGCGCAGCCCCCTCTTCCTTGGACGAATCACCTGCATATTTGATCGACTAGCAGTGGCGGATCCAGGGGGGGGGGCTGCGGGGGCTGGCAGCCCCCACCCAAGGAAAACTGGCGCCACTGCGCCGAAGGCGCAGTGGCGCCAATTTTCAATTCGCAACTCATCGGAGTGCCGCATACTAGGACTAGGATGCAAAAATCAGTCGAATAACGTCGTTTCAGTACGCTCCGCACCGATATTTCCAATCGTGTGGTGTCACTGTACATACTGATCCTGGGCGCCTCTTGTCAGGGCCACTGGGCGCCAATATTTCAGCGCCAATACGATGCGACTATGGCGCCCATCCGGGGCGTGGCGCCCAATTATGACCTGCAGCCCCTCCCCAGTGAAAATCCTGGATCCGCCACTGTCGACTAGATCCCTGCCCTGTATCTGCCCTGTATCTGCCCTGTATCCCGTCCTGCCCTGCCCTGTATCCCGTCCTGTGCCCTGCCCTGTGGACCGTTCTGCACCTTGTAGCGTACCAACTACCCAGTGCCCTGGGTCCTTCTCTCTGCCCTGATCTGTGCCCTGCCCTGGGCCCTTCTCTCTGCCCTGATCTGTGCCCTGCCCTGGGTCCTCTCCAGTCCCATGCCTTTCACTCTGCTCTGCTATTTCCTGTGTAACGCCGTCCTATGCCTTGTCTTGTCGTGTGCCCTGCTCTTCCTATTCCTTGTCCTTAGCCCTGCTGTCCGGTGTCCTGTATTGGTCTGTGCAATGTGTATTGTCCTTTGTGTCTCGTCCTGTCATTTGTCCAGCACTTTATTTGCATACCAGCTCGCATATCTTGCCCCTGCTTTCCTTCCATGGTCCCTGCCCTGTTGTTCTCGGTCCATTGTCCTGTCCTGCTAAGTTTCCCGTATAATAACAATTTAATGTCTCCTGGCTTCTCTCCCATGTGCGCTGCTGCCTCCCCACAATATGCCATGCCATTTCGTTACAGGTGATATTCCCTTGCATCAGTCTGCCATTTCCTGGCATCTATTCTCTATCTCTCTCCCCTGTCCGTGTATAGTCGACTACAGAATGATGTACCACTTTTCGCAGGCAATTATTTGCCTGGAGTGGTAGGCTGTGCCGCATCACACGGGCTGAGTTCACAAATTATAGCTTTGTCCCAATGCTCACAATCGACACGCTTAATTGCGTGATAAACGGCACAACTTAGCGCTCCGGTCAACTGATAGCTTCTGAGGAGTGGAACATCATTCTGTAGTCGACTTTACAGTCCTTCGCTGGCTATTGGCCAACCCAACACTGTTCCGCTAGGTTCCTGTCCCTGACCTTGTCCGACCCTTGCCACTGCCTCTGTCCTTTCCTTCTCCAGGCCATGCGCTGCATTCCTTACCGACGGGATTTCAAAAAGTATTGCCCTGAATGAAATTCGATGATTGAAAGCTTCCTTATGTCATCCGACGCATTTTTTAGTTAGTGAGGGACGAGGGTTGTGACAGGTTACGATCAAGTTAAAAGTTCGAATTTTTCATTCGGTAAATATCAACAGTAACATGTCTTTTTCAATGTCATTTGAGCTCATAATTCCAATTGAGCCATATTTGCTACATGTTTTAGAGTTACATTTACATTTAATGCCTTTTTGTGACATGACATGCATATCACTTAGGTACATTAACATTGACTGCACTTATATAGTTAGGTAAATGCGTAGATATATTTTATATATTTCAATGTAAGCGGAAAAATATAATGCAGTCTTGCTTCTTACCCGTGTCATACCATGCTCCAACTCAAAACGATATACCTACCTGTGACAGTAGTGGCAGTACAACATAACGCCGCATCGAAATCGCCCTGACCTGACATCTTTCATTTTTTCCATAGCATTTCCGAGTAGATTTCAGTAAGATGAAACACGGTGTTGTTAAAACATTGGCATGTTATCTTTGTGTTAACCCGCGCCCCACTGGGGTCTGTGTATAACACGCCCTACTGGGGGGGGGGGGGGGGCTATTCATAGCTATTCATTAAACCTAACTCCGAAACTACTGGGCCGATCGTCAAAATTCAAACGGTGTCTGATAGCCCCGGAAAAACTGTCGAAGGGAACCTAATTTCATTGACCTCGAGGTCACCGATGACGTCACATGTCAGGTCAAATTAAAAATTATTGGCATTTTGGCTTGTTCACGATTTGGGCTCTGGCCGCCGTCTTACAAGTCAGATCAGGCTCATTTTTGGTTCACACACTCGTGAACAGATTCTCTAGATACTCTGAGGGTACCAAACTTGTACTTTGATTTTCAGGTCAAGGTCAGGTCATCACAGGTCACGAAAATATTATATCATCCGTCGGTCACGTGACACATGTTTTATGGTCCATTTAGGCCAAAGATTTCGAATTTGATGTCGTCTGTGTCATTCGAGGTCATTTTGAGTCGAATTTAGCTTAGGTCAGGTCACTTTCAGGTCAAAAAAGGTCACATTTTGAAGTTATAATTTTTCAACAGAAAAGGTGTCTATTGGATGCAGTTTGAGCTGAGGAACACAATGGTGCTATTTATATTGGCGTACGATGTCAAATACGTGCCGAAAAATTGATTAGAAAAATTAATAATTGTGATTTTTTGCAATAATGCGTATAACTTGGCAATTTTTTTTAAGATATTTAGCTAAAACTTGCTAGTTAGTCATAATAACGCGTTCTATCACATACTAGGTCGTTCAATAAGTAAGGTAAAATGTGCTATAGCTCATTAACCTTAACAAGTTAAACAAAATAAAATATGTCATCTGAATCTACGAAAAATTTGCTACACAACGTATCCAACCGTTTTTAGGAGTTTGAAAAATTGTTCGAACACGGTCGGCATGAAAACATTGATGCAGCACCGTTCCGTTTGGGAAGTGCCTTTTTGTCAGGTGAGCCTCGAGTTCATCTCAAAACCGGCGTCGGTAGCAAATTGTACCCTGATGACGCCATATGGCCATTAACAATGCTTAGTGGTGGGCAGTGGGTAGTGATACGGCAGTGTAAGAGACAAAATTCTACGGCAGGCAGACCTATGCTTGCAGTACCCTCTGGATCTGGCACCATCCGTGAAATCAGC